TACAATCTGAGGTAATAAAGAGAGAGAGAAGTAGGAACGATTCCTTCATAGACTTCTTCTTACAATCTGAGGTAATAAAGAGAGAGAGAGAAGTAGGAACATTTCCTCTAGGACTCCAGAGAGAGAACTGTAGAGATCATTCAGGACTCTAGAGAGAGAACTGTAGAGATCATTCAGGACTCTAGAGAGAGAACTGTAGAGATCATTCAGGACTCCAGAGAGAGAACTGTAGAGATCATTCAGGACTCTAGAGAGAGAACTGTAGAGATCATTCAGGACTCTAGAGAGAGAACTGTAGAGATCATTCAGGACTCCAGAGAGAGAACTGTAGAGATCATTCAGGACTCTAGAGAGAGAACTGTAGAGATCATTCAGGACTCTAGAGAGAGAACTGTAGAGATCATTCAGGACTCCAGAGAGAGAACTGTAGAGATCATTCAGGACTCTAGAGAGAACTGTAGAGATCATTCAGGACTCCAGAGAGAGAACTGTAGAGATCATTCAGGACTCTAGAGAGAGAACTGTGGAGATCATTCAGGACACTTTAGAGGCAACTAAAAGAAGGATTGAGGACACTTTAAAGAGAGGAATTATTTAAAACTGAAACCCTTGTCCTTTCAGGAGAGATCAGCTGCTACAAAGACGAGATTGAGAGTGAGCTGGAGAAGAGCCGCCCTAAACTGAGAGGAATCTACGCCGCCTACGCCAAAGAAATTGGTTTGTACTGATTCTAAGTCAAGAAACTCTCCCGCAAAATCTAGAACATCCATCAACCCTTTACTCCTCCATTTTCAGACCCGGAAGACGCCGAGTTGTTGTCCCTGACCTCTGAACCCGAGGTGCCGGAGGTCGAGGAGGCAGAGCTCAATGCCGCCGCCCAACACCTGACACAGACCTTCCTGAACCAGGTGATCCATGAGGAGGACAGGCATGATAAGAAGGCCGATGACAGCGAGCAGGGGGCGGGGCCGGAGAACGAGGGGGCGGGACCTCAGCGTCTGGCCGCCCCTTTGGCCGTCATCCTGGGACAGCTGCCGAGCGCCGCCAGCCTCAGCCTCCAGAAGACCTTCCAGACCTTCGGCGAGGAAACAGGCGGGAAACCAGACGGTAAGAATCACCGGCATAGACAAAGCTAATGCATGCTACAAAGAGCTCTGGTGGAATCATAACACAGACATACATATTTTTTATAATTTAAGAGTAAATGACTTGGACAGAGAGCGAGTAATAGCTTTAAAAATAAATGTAGGTTGAAAAATGGTTGACTTCGCTTCAATCACAAAAGTACAAATCGATGTGTTTGGATGGATCCTAGCACTGGCCCTTTGTTTATGACACAAAGGTGAATGATGTTCATCTGTCTCTGCGGTTTCACAGATGAGCAGTCTGAGAGTGGAGAGCTGGACCTGAAGGATATCGATGATCAGGAGATTGATAAGGTCAGTCCATCAATTATGATGTACCACAGACTCTCATAGACTTCTCTACAATCTGAGGTAATAAACAGAGAGAGAGAAGTAGGAACATTTCCTCCTAGCCTTCTATACAATCTGAGGTAATAAAGAGAGAGAGAAGAAGGAACATTTCCTCGTAGCCTTCTATACAATCTGAGGTAATAAAGAGAGAGAGAAGTAGGAAAATTTCCTCATAGACTTCTCTACAATCTGAGGTAATAAAGAGAGAGAGAAGTAGGAACATTTCCTCATAGACTTCTCTACAATCTGAGGTAATAAAGAGAGAGAGAAGTAGGAACATTTCCTCATAGACTTCTCTACAATCTGAGGTAATAAAGAGAGAGAGAAGTAGGAACATTTCCTCATAGACTTCTCTACAATCTGAGGTAATAAAGAGAGAGAGAAGTAGGAACATTTCCTCATAGACTTCTCTACAATCTGAGGTAATAAAGAGAGAGAGAAGTAGG